TTGTTATCTAACCATTCCAATTATTTCAAGACGAATGAAAATGCCTATGAAAGTAAATGTATTTCACCGTTACAAAAATGCACCACCGTTATTCGATAACTAGCATATGGAATAGGCAAAAAAAAGTATTGTTATTGAATGTCTAAAGAAATTTTGTTAGGGAGTAATCGAAATATTCAACATTATGTGCTTGAGAAGACCAAATACTGAAGACAATAAGTGTACACTTTATCTGTATAAAAAACATTATCAGCTTCCATGTATGCTAGGCAATATTGTTTGTATGCATTAGGCTTGGAAAATTGTCTCATCGCTTGGCAAGGGAAATTCACTCCAGGGAAATTCACTCCAGGTGCCAATAATTATTTTAGAAGTTTTTTGCTTTTCAAAATCTTTGGATTTGGCATTCACTTTTTGGTGTTGTTAGGTCAAAAAATGACATCAATGTATTAAACCAAAGTATATTGTTCAACGATTTCTTACAAGTATATACTCTCGAAGTGAATTTTACCATTACTGAAAATTACACGAAAGGTTATTACCTTTCGATGGTATATATCCACAATGGGAAACAACTCTTAAGAGTTTTTCCTTCCCACAAAATTCAAAAGAATTAGAAGTTCAAGAAAATGCAAGAAGCTAGGAAAGACGTTGAACAAGTATCTGTGGTTCTCCAATCTTGTTGGGAAATTATACGTTGATCGGAAAGATTTTGGCACACTAACACAATGAATGATATCATATATACATACATTATAATGCATAATATGTTTGTTAAAAATGAAGTGAATGCAATTAGTTTTTGGACAGGGGGATCATCCAATAAATGTTAGAACAAATCTATTCAAGCATTCAACCAACGCATAAAAAGAATACTAAAGGATTACGTAATATGTTTTATGCATGCTATCAAAATTCCAATTATGAAGAGGAATTACTATTGAGTGCTTGGGTAACTATCTCAATAGACAGCACCATCAACACCATCGTTAATGGAGAGCAATGAAAAGCGTTGGTTAGTATTATTGAATATTATAACGAGTTTAGAAAATATTTGGTCCAAGGATGCAAGAAAAAATGAAAATGATGCAAGAAAAAAATGAAGAGGCATTGGTACAAGGTAATTCCTTTTATTAATGAGTTCATTCAGATATTCATTAACATATAGAAAATATCACAGGGATGGTCACTGGATGGTCTGGTGGCCAGTTAAAGGATGTTGCAACAAAAGTATTCCACATGCAATAAGGCATTTAGATGTGAGCATGCATGTGAGATCTTTAAAGATGATCCCAAATGGAATATGGGAAGCACAAATGATGTTCACACGAAGAGAATAAAGACTAGCTCGTCTAGTCATACAACGTCATCAAATGACAAAACAAACGTCAACAATGAAGATGATGAAACTAAAGTCCGTCCCATGAAAAGAAACAAGCATCAATGAACCAAAAAGGAAAAGAGACTACCTCAGGTGGCGAAGTAAGTCGTATGAGAGATTTGATTAACGAAGCTAACTATATGCGCATTTACGAGATAAGTGAAGTGACAAAACAAATAAATATGATAAACAAATCAATCAAGTCTTCAAATAGAATCAACGTAATAGTTTTTTTTTTTTTTTTTTTTTTTTTTGTACGAAAAAATACTCACCTTGTAACCGCAAACGCGGTTAATCCATTTTCAAAACCGCTTGGTGCGGTTATTTTTGCGGTGCGGTTAGGTGGTTATTTTTGCGGTGCAGTTTTGTTTTTTTTTTGTGTTTCAATTATTAACCGCATGGATTTAGTACGGTTATTTTGTGTGGTTTTTAACCACACTTTAGAGTTCAAACAACTTTAAGAGTTTAAACATATTACTTGCAATAATAAAAAACCATATGATATAAAGCAATTAACTTCAATTACAAACAACCAATATCTTAAAAACGTTAAATCACTAGTAATTAACAATAAACATTTTAAAATTTACAAATTTCATCATTTTTCAAAGTTAAACATAAGAAAAAACCATAACTTTTGTCTTCTAGAATTTTATCTTTCTTTCATCCATGAAACTTGTCTTATTTTTAATATTTAATATATTAATAATTAATAAATAATTATATATATAATATATGCGGTGCGGTGCGGTTTTTTTGCGGTTTTTGAAAACTAATAACCGCACCGCACCGCAAATTTGCGGTTTTTGAAAAAGAGAAAACCTCACCATCGGTTTTTATTGCGGCTGCGGTTAATCGGTTGCGGTTTATGTAGTTAATTTTAGTTGCGGTGTGGTTTTTGCTCACCCCTAACTTGTATATCATCAAATGGTGTGCGGCGAGATAAAAATGAAATATAGACTCTAGATTTAGTAATATTTATTTTAATTATATTGTTTTAATTTCATTTACTGAAATTCCAATAAAAAACAATTTATCATTTACATTCGTTCGAATGATTGTCGGTATGAAGATGTGCTCATGCTAACATTGCTTATTGTCGCTAAAACTCTTGTCGAATCCAATATTCTTTTTGGAACACCTATATGAAAGGGAATATATATATATATATATATATATATATATATATATATATATATATCTTACGAAGCAATGGGAGGTAATCTAGCTATGACTGACAAGATGTGACCTTGCCTTTCGCCTTGCTACCTCCGTTCTAAGTTCTTCCGACTACTTTCTAGTTTTATAAATATTATGTGTGCTTAAATTGTTAAATACAAGCATTTTGAAGAAGTTCATCGGATTTTAGAGAACCATTTTTGTTTCATCGTACTTTTTTTGTATATTTAACTACTATATCCATAAAAGTTACGAACCTAGATATTAAATAAAAGACAATATTTCGAGGGGGAAACAAATATGATATGAGGTTTCGGAAAGTGATGAGCACGACATTTCAAGTTCTCCTTATATATGGAGGACCATAGAAATGGATGGGTATCCGTCGTATTTGGGTCCAAGATAGACCCTTTCGAAACATGTGGTCAAATTTGTAAAAATTAGAAAAGTGGGTTAGTCACTTTATATTGTTCATTATCATCTCATGCATATGAACCTTCCTTACTTTGATATTATGATTTGATCCATTACATACTCCGTATTGGAAAGTAGTAGGGGGGTTTTAGTGCCTTAGTGGCTATACCCTTTTGCTAGATTGTATTTTATTTTTTTATTTTTTTTGAAAGCACTCTTTTGCTAGATGCATATATGTATGTGGCATATTGGGTATTGGAAATTATTGAGGTGTGTTAGTGGCTTTACCTTTTGCTAGATGCGTCTATGTATGTCGGGCTTGAGTTAGATAGGAAAGCGGACACCAATCAACATTTTTAACTTCAAAACCGGCCGCAAAAGTTTTATTTATTAAACATGGTTTCTTTGAATTATCAAAACAAAAGCTTACCTTTCTTTTTTTTTCTTAATATACACGTTGATATTGCAATTGAAACTTTATTTACTAATTGGCATACATAATGTTCTATTTTATTATCACTTCTCCATCTACATTTCAAAATCAAACCTATATTCAATATTTTATCCCTTTCCCAAAACTTTATATTAAACCTATAATCAATATTATCAAACATAATATCATATTCAATTTTCTACTTATATTCAAAGTATTCTATTCACCTAACTACTTTAGTTTTGCATTATTTACTCATAATAATATAATAATCCCGTTGATGTTTTGTTCACACCAACAAGTAATCTTACATATAACCAATAATATTACAGTCCATATCCAAGAAATTAAAACAGATTATTCAAAATTACAAAATCCAATCATCACAAGTCTTATATAAATCCATGTTCACTTTAGCTATAGAAAACACATCATGTCTTCCCAATAAATATTTATAAAAAACCATAAGTAGTAAATATAATTGACCAAAGCTTACTACAATTCTAGAGAGAATGACCTCGTGTGAACATCTCACAAAATCATACGAATTTCAAGACATGCTCATTTTGTTTACATGGGCATGATGACATTATTTATTGGCAGCTTCCTCGTTTTGGCAGTTTCATTAAGCCCGCCACTCTCTCTCTCTCTCTCTCTCTCTCTCTTCTTCCTGCCTTCGCAGGTCCTTCCAGCAAGCTGCATACGAATCTTCTTTCAGAGGAAACATTAAAAAAGTCACTTTTGTTGTCATTCAATCACCTTTTCAAAGGTTTGGCCTTTATCTTTACAGTTATCTTGACTTAAATTTGAATTGGTACCTTCCTGAGTTGCTTCACAAATTTTGACCAATCATGGGATTGTATATATGTGGTATCTTGGTTGTTTTATGATGTGGGTTTGCGTTATTTATGGTAATTGTCAATTGGGTTTGATGGAATTTATTGTTTTTTTTGCCAAAATTGGGTTTTTAATATGCGAATCTTGAAAGGAGGAGTGTCAATTTAGAACTTTTTTTTACTGTTTTTTTCCTTTCGTGGGTATCAAAGAATCAATTTGGTTTCATCTTTGGTGGAGTGTGAAATTCTGTGGCTTGTTATAGTTTGTCTCGTTAATGGCAGTTTAAGAGGTTTTCAAATAGGGTTTTGCTTTCATCGCATGGGTTTGTGTCACATGTGGTCATGATTCAATAATTTTGGGGGAAATTGGATTCTTTTACGCAAATATTGGAACTTTTCTTTATTTGATTGTTGGGGATCAGATACTTAAGTTTTTTTTTTTTTGAGAAACAGGGTTTTGGTCCTTTCGGATTCTAGGGTTCTTGACATCTTATAAAGCTCTGTTTTAAAATTATTCTCGATTCAAGAAAATCAAGTCCTGTTTTTGTATTTGAGTTCTTTGAAGCTTCCAAGTCATTTCCATAAAGATTCTTCTGCTCTTCCAATTCATTTCTTACATGGCTAAATAACGTCTGTCGATTTGGTGATAAGATTTTCAAGACTTTTTGTTGACTCCATGATTCTTGATCCAAAATATCTGAGATATTACTAAAGTATCACTACCCCATCAAGATTCTCTCTCTTTTTTCTCAGTCCAATGAACCAAGAAACAATCATCATCAGTTTCCACTCCCAAAAAGAAAGAAACCCACAAGGAGAAGCAACTATCTTTTCAGCAATGGCTTTCAAAAAGGATGGGATATTCATGTTCTTGAAATGAGAATGCAAGTTTTTGTATCAAGTTTTCTACTATTGATGCAATTACCGATCATATTTACCTCTCAATTATCACATACAAAGCCTTGTGAAACATATAATATTCTCTATTCACTAGTGATTTTGGTCATGAGTTATTTTACTTAAACGGAGAATTAGTAAATAAAGATTCGTTTTGCAAGTTTATCAAGTTACACAATGCAAATCAATGCTTCATCGGTAAAAACTTTGTGAATCGCTGCTTTGAGGAGGATCTTTTTTCAGGTATATAATTATAGTTTATAACATTGCATCAAGTTATGTATTTCCCCTTTTAAAAATAATACTTTTATGCTGATTTGTGTGTTATTTTATAGATGATTTGCCTGTGGAGGCTGGGAGGAGAATCTTGCGTGATTTAGTTATAAAAGAAACTAAAAAATCGGTTTTTAGAACAAAATATATGGCCATGGGAGGAACAGGAATGTTGTTTCTTTGTTGCAGTTTTATTTGCCCTTGTTTTTTTCGATCTAAAAGGAAAGATACAGATGATGCTGCTCTTGTTAAGGATTCAAATTCACGTGAGTAAAAAGTTGTGATGTTTATCAATTACTTTAATCTTTAGGGTAACCTTTGAAAATGCAACATTTCTATTTTAGAATGTTTTCATGTTATCTTTAGTCCAAAAAAAAGGTCTTTGTTTATGCAAAACACGTCATTTCTCACTTCACCCTCATTGATTTTTTTCGTTCAATATCTCTAAAACTTGCAATCATTTTCTCAAACCTTTTATTAAACATCAACACAAATTGGAAATTTGGTTCTTAAAAGAATGGATTGGATATTTGATTTTGTAGTGGAGAGTGCTCCATCTGTAGAAATGAATTCCGTATCGGGAAAGATTCCCGCAAGTCCATTGCGGGTCCCACCGAGCCCCGGTAGATTTTCAATGTCCCCAAAACTTGATAGGATTGGATCGGTTCATCTGACAGTGAGTCAAGTTGCAAGAGCTACTCAAAATTTTTCACCATCATTGAAATTAGGCGAAGGGGGATTTGGAACTGTTTATAAAGCTCAACTACAAGATGGTCAATTTGTTGCCATAAAAAGAGCAAGCAAGGTAATAATATAAATACAATCACATCTTTATCTTTATTTCTCAACAAATGAAAATTGAAATAGTTAACATAAGAAAATTCATTTCATGCAGGAACACTTTGATGCTCTAAGAAGTGAATTTAGAAGTGAGATTGAGTTACTTGCAAAGATTGAGCATCGAAATCTTGTAAAATTGCTTGGTTATGTTGACAAAGGGAATGAGCGTCTTATTATTACAGAATACGTGTCTAATGGGACACTTAGAGAACATTTAGATGGTAAGTTTAACAAATATAGCCGAATTTATTTCCCAATTCATAATGTGGAAAAAGTTCAACAATCCAAAAAAAATTGAAAATTGAAACCATAGGGACCACATTTGGAATTTACTCTAATTTATATATTTCTTTTTAACAGCGGTTCATGGAAGTTGCTTGGATTTCAGTCAAAGGCTTGAAATTTCAATCGATATTGCTCATGGCTTAACCTACCTTCATTTATACGCAGGTGATGCATTTTATTGATTTTTTTGTTATAGAATCACAGTTTTCATATCTTCCTATTACGCTATTAAGTCCTAACTTTTTACAAATTTGGTCTCCTTTATTTTGACACTTGTATTTGATCTTAATTTTTGATAGAAAAACAAATAATCCACCGAGACGTGAAATCATCGAACATTCTTCTGAATGAGAGGATGCGGGCCAAAGTGGCGGATTTCGGGTTTGCCCGACTTGGGGCAGCAGAATCGGGCAAAACACATGTTATGACTAAAGTCAAAGGGACAGTCGGGTACCTTGACCCGGAATATATGAGAACTTATCAACTCACTCCAAAGAGCGATGTCTACTCTTTCGGTGTTTTGCTCATAGAAATTCTTACGGGTCGTCGACCCGTTGAGTCAAAACGGGTACCCGAGGAAAAGGTCACAATTAGATGGGTAAGCTTCCAATTCTTCATCTTGTACATTTTGCATTTGTGGTGGTACGCTACCTTCTCTATTTTCTAGTGTTATCTTGATTTACTATTTACGTTTTTTTTCACAAACAAAATATAAAGAGCAAGCCCCTTTCCCATCTTGTTCTATTTTTTTAGATAGGACAAGAAACGGTAGTTTTTGTCCTATTGACACCCAGTAGACTCAATGATCTGTGTCTTTGTCGTGTCATGTGGGGCCTAATCATATCCTATATGTGTATTAAAAAGTGGGGTTTGTAGTCAAATATCTTGTAAACCAATATCAGTATCGTGAGTAGGGTTTAGTGCTTAGTGAGTAGGGTTTAGTGCTTAGGGTTAAGGGCTTTGCATTCTTCTCTATGTTGTACTATGTGCATTAAAAGTTGTACGATATCTGATATTTTGCAGGCGTTTGGGAAGTACAACAAAGGCGAAGCGATGGACTTGGTGGACCCGCAAATGAGGGAAGCCGTGGACGAGGAGATTTTCGAGAAAATGTTGAGTTTGGCGTTTCAATGTGCGGCCCCCACACGAGCTGATCGGCCGGACATGAAGACGGTTGGAGAGCAGTTATGGGCCATTCGGATGGACTATCTTAGACAAGGAAGAAGAGGGTAATTCAAAAGATTTGAAGTTTCTTGTATTGTAGATTTCTAGCTTTGTAAAACTTAAAATTTCTCTTCTCATTTTAGATTTGCTTCTTGTAATGTTTTCTTTTACCAGAGTACAAGTATACAAGTATACAATGCATGTTGTTACATAGTACAAGAATTTGATGCATCATCTTATTTTGGTTGTATCTATAGAAATATTGCAATGAATAATAATCTTTTTCGTCTTTTATGTTTTTGACCATAGTTTAATGCACGCTAAATACATTACAACTTGTATATCCATGAATACAACAAAGAAGTTCTATGCCCTTCAAACTCATTATTTTGTATAAATTCTACCTTCAAACTTGTTATTACAACATAGAAGCTAATTAATGGAATCTTTGAATGACAATAACACATACTCGATGCCTTCATTTCATGGATATTTTCCTTCATAATTGGTTAAGTTCAAGAGTAGGGACAATAGTGTGTAGATAATTCTTCTTCAATTTCCTTCTTCGAAGACTCTTGTTCCTACATCATTGCAATTTTTATCCCATTGACATCAGTATCAGACTATCAGTCACAGTTCAATGCACAGCAAACACAGTACAAACAATTAAGTGCTCACCAGTACTGGTTGTGTAGCACAAAGGAATCGGTTGCAACTTTCTTCCCATCATCATTTCGATTCCAATGATAAAATGCATGTGTTTTGTTCATTATTTCTAATGTAGAATGTCCATAGCTAGCCTCCCGAAATGCAGAATAATCAGGCTGAGGATCATTAAACCTGAGGAAAACATAATCATTTGAAAAAAGAACAATTTCAGAATATAAAAGGAATAGCCAAAATATGAAAGAAAATAAAAGATCACCTTGATGCAAGACCTTCTTGGTTTCCTCCATCTCCAACAGTTATATAAACAGGAGCTGATTTATCTGGCACAGGATAACTCACACCACCCGTAATGTTGTAGTGTATGTTTGAGATCCGATACTGAATACAACAAAATGTTAACCAAATGTCTAAAATACCCTTTAATAACAACAAAAGTAAGATAGAGACAAACCGATCTTTCATAAGCATGGACATGTCCAGCAAATACCACATCAACTTTGTATTGAACAAACCAAGATTCAAATGCAACTCTCATGCTTTCACCTTCCATGTAGTGAGCACTATTACTATTGTAGATAGGTGAATGCATGATGACAATAAGCCATGGTGTTTGCTTTCTGTCCACTTTTGTAAATTCTTCCTTCAGCCACTCCCATTGAGGTGTGTATTTTACTGTAAAAAGTTATGATTTTTTTTTTATTATTTTGGAATGTAAGGGTAAAATGGTCATTTTACGAGAAAAAGAAGGTTACCAAATGGGGAATAACTGGATAACACGATTATATGAGCGGATGCACGTCTGATTGCATACCAAAGAGGATTACTGCTTTTGCTAGCTGTATAAGGAGTGGGGTATCTATAAAGATATTGTTTGAAAGGGACAACTTCATTCTGATGAAAACAAGAAAATATTATGAATAAAAAGTTGAAGAATTATAGATAAATATTGATTTTCATGATTTACCATATATGGCATATACTCTATCTCGTGATTTCCTGTGGTCCATATCCATGGTTGATATGCTGAAATTTTTTCAACAAAACGACCATATGAATCCCATCTTATACCCATATCATCATATTTATACCTATCAGCATAAGATAAATCTCCAACATGTAACACTGTTTGTGCTCCACTTTGAATGTAATGTTCAAGAGTGGATAGAGAATTGTATGTTTGCCCTAGGTCGCCTGAAAAAAAACACATAAGGTTAAAAGGGTATTTAAGTAATTTTACAAAACAAAGAAGTGACTCACTCACTCACTCACTCACTCACCTATGATTCCAAATTTGTAAGAAGCATTTGGATCGATTTTTGGAGGTGTTTGAAACCAAAATTGTCGAGCAGAATCACCTTCTCCAATCTCATAATAATACTTGGTGTCATACTAACAAGAAACACACAAGATCTTTAAAGTCTTTATAAAGAATCATGCCATAAATAAAACTATTATTGTCATTGAGTTAACTAACAAATACCTCAAGATTTTCAACATGGCACACATGAATGTATCCAGATGTGTAGTTGTAAAAAGTATAGGTTTTCACAGTTCCTTCTACAGTAAAGTCATACTTATTCTCTGATGTCCCATATCTGACTTGGTTTGACCCTGGTTCATCAGGTGTCACCCATATTATGATCATGGCTTTTCCATCATAATCTCCTTGAGTGATGTGTACCTAAAGAATAAGAACATGAAATAATATAAGTAAACTGAAAGAATGAAAAGAGTTGAAGAAATATAAGTAGACAATAATACCTGTTCAGGTGCATTATGACCATTGGGTTTCACAAAAACTTCATTATCAAGAGGAATGTCAACTGATGGCCATTCTGAACGGATGAAAGAGCTTGTGACACCAGCATAGACATTGTTCAGAAAGAAGAAGAAAAAATAGCTAATAAGAAGAAACTGAGGTATCATGGATCCCATTTTCTTATCCTTCAAATTGTTCATTGTTCAACCAGCTACAAGTCCCAAATAGTATAAACTGCACACAAAGTTCTGGATTATTATATGATGATATTGGAACTTTCCTTATATAGAAAATAAATAGACTAGAAATCTGAACTTATGGGTTCCTTTTTCCATGTTCCAACATTGGGTGACGTCTATTTATAGGTGAACCAAATAGCAAAAACTGTTCATTAATAAACTTCACTGTTTCAAGCAAATAAATACTGTTGACCCCACTATACATTCCATGTTTTACAAACTAAACACTGAGTGACATCAACTTTAGGTATAGCCGATCAAATTTAATTTGTTAAAGTGCATACTTGAATAATCAGTCTACAGTTCTAACTTTATAAAAGAAGAAAAAAGAACTGAAAGTTTCTGGAATAGCTTTAGAGTTTTATTCTTAAACAAGTTATGATTCTCCTTTATCCCTATCGCGATACCTGCGAACCTTTTTGATTTATGAAATTCCAACAACGAAGTCACAACAATAACGCATTGTTTATCTGGTGAAATTCTCAATTTGCATAAAGTACATATAAATCACAGATAGATTATGAGTTCTATCCTAGAGAAATTCATGGTAATTCAATCACAATACATGCAAACATTTATTGTGCGATCTATGATGCTCAGACAATAAAGTCACAGCAATACTTCATGATTTGTCCAGTCAAAATCCACAATTCGCATCAAATGCAATAAAATCGTTCAATCGAATTCACCAAACAAACTTTCGGGTCAACATTATGTAGTAAAAAACTTTCAATTCTGACCATCAACCGGTGTAGATTCAAATTCAACTGCAAGAATCAGCTCAAACAAACACTTGAATCAAGCTGCGTGTATAGATTCGTAGAGTTTATAGAACATTGACTTACCTCGGATTCAATGGAGAGATCAATAGATCCTCAGCTCATTGGATGATAGAAAGAGAGAATGGGGGATTAGGTGGAAATAGTCGCTGATGTTTTTCAGGCGACACAGGCAGATGAAGGTTGCGTAAGTTAGTAGAAATCATGATTGTTGTTTACATTAGCATTAGCGTAAGTTAGCTGTTGGACCGGTCCCACGAGCTACGTGCATCAATTTTATACCACAGAGACAAAATTGCATAAATGGTTCATGATATAAAATGTAACAGGGATAATAATCAGACAAAATTGTATAAATCGTTCACGGGTTGTTAAAATTATATGATTTTCGTCTTAAAAAGTTTGGTAGTGTTAGTGTCCAATTTTTTATATCTTGTATGGCTTTGGTCCTTATGATTAACATTTTTATATGGTTTTAGTCTAAACCCAACTGGAAAAACATATATGCCCTTATATAATTCTTTTTTAATTTCTTCTATTTAATTTCTTATTAATTTTTATTCAAAAAAAAAACTACACCCTCATCCCACTCTCTCTCTCTCTCTCTCTCTCTCTCTCTCTCTCTCTCTTTGCAGCACCATCATCCCTACCACTATCGGACCTCCACCTGCCAGACAACCACCTGTTGGACCTCCAACTACTGGACCACCACATGTCGGATAACCACTTGTCGATCCACCACCTACAAGACCACCCATTCCTTTTAAATCACACCCTAAAATGAGATCAACAACAAGATCAACAACTCTGTTACCTTAGTTTCAACGACGAGAAGAGGCCCAATGGTTTCAGATCGGGCATATAGGAGGTCGATGATGGCGATGATCTGGTGGCAGAGTGCAGATCTGATGGTTCCGTTGTGTAACACCCGTTTTCTAGGATGAGCCAATTTAGGGATTCAAGGGGGGCAAAAAGGTTGATTTTTAGAAGAAATGGAGTATCACAACGTGACATGAGTTAAAGTGTAAATGGTGTTTAGGAGTGATCTCACGATGTTAGGCATAGAGGCTCACAACGTCAGAACTGAGGCATCCCAAGCTCATGATTTTTTAGGGTTTCCTTCATATTCAAGCCTCTCTAAGCCATCTCTAGGGTTCATTTTCAGCCTCTATCACTCTTTCACCACATAAAACCCTAAACCTTATTCCTTGCTTGATTCTTGAGCTTTTTGGAGCTTTTTTTTTGGCTTGGAGAAGAAGAAGAAGAAGAAGAAGAAGAAGAAAATAATCTTTTGGTGGAGCTTGCAAGGAATCAACATTATCATCATCTCATATTGTCTCTGGACCCTTGTAAGTGTCAAAGCTTCCACCTTTATTGTTGCATTTGGCTAGATCTAAGTTTTGTCTCACTCAACTCCTTGTTGAGCAAGTTTGAATGAATGGAAACCTTAAAGTTGGCAACTTTATGGGTTGTAAAGGTCCTTAGAGTGTCATGAAGTTCAGATCTAGTGAATGGTTAGGTTCTGAATCTTTACATGAAAGTTGGATGTCCTTCTCTACATTTTTGGTCCCAAATGAAATCTAGACATGTATTCGACATACATATCCACAAATGTAACATCCCAAATTTCGAGTCCAAAAATTTCATTTTAATTAACGGATTATAAAAACATTCATAAGAAAACTGCGTAACAATATATCATTTTGTGAACCAATGTATC